GGCGGGTGACTTGCAGCATGACTCGGTATTTTGATGCAACAAGTGGCTGTCACAACATGTGATAAGTTTGCACTGGTCAATCCTCGTAACAGGGGGGCGTTTATGTTTGTAGTGCGCGCGGTGGTGGTGTGGATGTACCTTGCTATGACATGTACCACAATATGTACGTGTGCACTGTCACATGCACTTCTGCACTGTGTGGGCGCCCTTGCCCCTCCTTTTGCTACCAAGCTGTACCCTGAACTGTTTTTTGAGCTGCTTTTGCCGCCTTTGGCACCTTTTTTAATTGGAGTAATGACGCACAATGATACACTTGCACTTCGTGTTTGGCCGTTTGTTGCGCGGACATCGGCAGCACCCGAAATAGGCACAGGCTGGCACAAATTGTGCCGTGTGCTTTTGACAACTCGGACAGGCACAAGCGGAAACAAATCATGGCCCTCTACCGTTCAGAGCTTGCTTTAGGTTGCCGATGACAATAAGGGCTAGGTGGAAGTTTCCTTTCATAGGAGTCCCGGTCGAAGCCCTTGATCCAAGCGTTTTGCACAAGAAATACTGAACCGCCTTTGTAGCATGTTCTTCCCGCTGAAGTGGCCTGAGGAGTAAGACATGCCCTGTCATGCCGTCGCACTGCATTGCCTTGACTTACTTTATTGCACTGCCTGGATGTCTTGATGACTGCGCTGCCTGGCCTTGCCTTTATCTCCTCACTGTCTTTTGTCCTGATGCTTTGCTGCCGTGCATGCCCCTTATAATGGTGCTGAGTTCTGCCTACCCCCGATTGCCGTGTATGGTTGAATGCTGCCACCAATATGACGCATGATGCTGCACAACAACACCCACCACTGTGCTGCGCGGACATCGCGTGAATCAGGCCGGAAGGCTCTATAGCAGAGGGTATATCCCCTCGGGGCAGAGCCTGTGGGCCATCTGTCCACTTCTCAGCACCCCGCGGTTCAGTTGAAGCAAGAGGGTCTAACCCCTCATGCCAGGACCAGTGGAGGTCCCGGCAGCTGGATGAAGCCCCCACAAACACTCCATGTAGCAAAAAGATGCAAAAAGGGTATAGCCATGGATTCGCCCGCGCCTCTGCCCTAACACTGCAGGGACTCAATCGGGGCGCTTGCCTCAGACTTGGAAGGACGAGTCTGGAGTCTGTATACCCGGTGCGAGTTCATGGATGTCACCACGTGTTGTGCTGACTGGTGGACAGCTTGCCTGATGGTAATGGGGCAAATGCTCGACTACTCTGTATAGCTCGGTGATGCGGCGCATCAGTTTGCAGTTGCCCTCAAGTTCGGACACAGGAGCGGCACTGCTTCTGAATGGAGGCAACTGGCTAAGCTGAGTGGAAGTACAGGGCAACAGCAGCATGGAAGGTCTGGATGAGATGCAACATGTTTTCGGGCAGAGACAGACGAAGACTGGCACCTGCATGATGCCAGACCCAACGCAGAAGAGCATGTTGGCAGGCACAGCCGAGTTCAGGTGACAGGATGCGTCAAAGCCCTGCTTGGACAATGTGGCTCGGAGTAGCTATGCTCTGTGCTGAGAGCACAGGTGACTGCGTGGCCCACGGGCGTGGTGCAGTGTCGACGGACACCAGAAATGGGTGCCAGTGTAGAGCAACCACTGAGACTTTGAGTCGTGAGTCGTGTTGTCGTCTCCCAATGCGGAGAATGTGTTGGATACACCGATGAAGATGTTCGCAGCTGTTAGGCTAATGCTTTCTCGGATCCAAACGAGCTCTGCCGTCTGAAACTAGGCTTCTCCCCAACCCTCGCCTGCAGAGTCGAGTGCGAGTGCTAAAACTACAGGGGGACGTCGGTAGCCCTCAAGTTTTTCTCGTTCCTTTATTCTTAGAAGTTTGTTGATAGTTGAACAGGTGTATCTGACGTCCGTCAATGCATGTTTCCTGGAGAATGTACGATCATCATGTTGTAGCCTCGTTGATGACCTACATTCGCTACTCACCTTTTACCTGATAACACATCGGGTGGGCATGGCTTTGACATGCCCCTATGCCCGGAAAGCGAGAGAGAGAGAGAGAGAGAGATAGAGAGAGATTTTGGCTCAAGTCGTCCTTTGGGGGGCGCGCGCTCGGCACCGGCCCTTGGGGTCTGAGCGGGGGCGGCTTGAAGCCATCCGTGCAGCATTTCGGCTGACGAGGGTTTTCAACGGTTCAGCTACGTCCTCTCCTGAACCCGGCCCCTCACTTTGTGGGGGTAGCCTAGCAGTAGGGAGGGGCATCATGCTACCACATAGTGGAACCCCCGGCAAAGATGGAGACCCAGGAGGACTACCACACCGCTTTCGAAGACCACTCGAAGAGCCTGCTAATCGACCTCCGCTCCCACGAAGACGACGGCACGCAGACGACGGCAGAGCATATGGCTGGAACGGGGAAACCGATGAAGGAGAGTCCGTGATAGTGGCTGCGATGGAGGACCCGGTCAGGGAACGGGATCCACCGAACACTGGGTGCCAGGGCCACGAGACCAGCCGAGCCTAGTGAGCCACCGCGTCGACGCACTGGGCAAAACGGGGGCAAGCCGCTAGGCGGGGGACTGGCACAGAAGATCCAGAAGATCATGACGACAGGGATCCGCATGGATAGAGCCAACCTGACCAAGGTGACAAGAACTGAAGTGGGCATCACCTTTGCAAGCCAGTGGTACACAGTCAACAGTGAACCAAAGCTCCCTCCGTGTACAACTCGTTCCATTCGCAACCTGAGGCACCCGCTTAAACAGTTAGGGCGCCACGGTGAAATAACCCAACACAAGAGTGGAGGGCCGGTAATTCAGGCATGTTTTTCCCCCACAAGCGTTAATGGAGGGCACCCCGAAAACTGTACTGAGTCTATGCCAAACCACGTCTGTTGTAAGGATGTTTGTAGCACCTGTCGCGTGCAAGCAAACCTCCCCCACAGGGGCGGTCCCCTCCTTTCGCAACGACCAGACTCGTGGTCAGCAGTACAGTCGGATGGGGATGCGCTTCGGCGCGTGTCAGGGGGACTGCCTCTGACTCTGACCCCAGGCAACCCAAAGCAAAGAGAAAAACGAATAACCTTATTTCTTGCTTCCGGTGAGCAACCATGTCTTTTTCCGAGCCCCCACAAGGCCCCGAAATCGGGGCGGGCCTCTCGGCGCGGGGAGCTTGACACGCTCCTCGAACCCCGGAGAACAGAACAGAACAGAGAGAGAGAGAGAGAGAGATAGAGAGATAGAGACAGGGGTCTCCGCTTCCCCTACCCTCGTGAAAGAAAAAGAGACAGCTGCACATATGCACGCCCACACGCATGCGCACACGCGCAAACGGGCGCACATACACACACAAACTATTATGATCTGCGAGGATGCACACATGATCTGCGAGGAAGTCCTCAGCGTTGTTGCCGGTTCACTAGCAATGGTGTGCTGGAGGCGCAGGCCTAGGAGTCTAGGTGCCGCGCATGCTGAGGAGTCGCATGGCTACGACTGGATCCGGAAGGCCAATGATGAAAAGGATCGGGCAGCGAGGCGAGAAATTAGTGCCTTGGCAGCCGCTTGCAATGTCAGCTAACTGCCACTGTCGCAAACGAGCAGAGGTCGAATTCTCTATCCGCCAAGAAAAACAGTTCTGGGCAAGACAGAATACAGGAGCGCAATGTCTCTTGCATGGTATAGCTAGTAGGAGACTCTTGTAATAATAGTTTGTGGAAGTACTTGTGCGAGCCTGGCCAAATGGATGCTGGAGGATTCAAGTGCCCGCCGTCGTAAAAAGCACCTCCCTCCGAACCCTCAGGTGCACTGACAAGGCGAGTTACGGAAGCTGGTGGTTTCCAGCTGCTCGGTTGACATCGGTTGCCTATGCGACCGAAGAGCTTACGGAGACTTTTCGGATTCTTTCAGGAGGGGACAGAAGTGAGCGGCCACTACGGACGGCCAGCCACAGCAATTGGACGGGATTGAAGCGTCGGCCTGTGCATTTTGCAATGCCATTGCGTGTCGCAATGCTTATGGCAGCCGAAGAAGCAGCATTGCGCAAACTCAGACTAGTGCTCGAAGCATTGCAGTGAAGCATCCTGAAGTCCTGGAGCCTTTGTTGCAGATCAGTGTCAATCATCTTAAAAAGCAGGTATTACTTCCCAGGGTCGTGACCTTGCAAGGCTTGGAAGCACGATCGTTCCACTTTGCCATGTCCACGAACTGGTGGCTGGAACAAAGCTCCTGGCTGCAGTAGTTTTCAGCTGTCCTGGAAGACTGTTGGGCAGTCATGTTGTGACTGTCGTGCGTTATGTGCAACACCCACCCAGCCTCACTGAAAGCCAGGCCGGACATGTGGGATGCATCCCTTGAGTATCACTGCTGTAGGGGGATCTGTTGCTTTAACTGAGTACTCAGGCTCTTCTCACCAAGCTTGTCTACGGGCGCCGTGTGGCCGTCGTTCGGCCAAGCTCTGTAGGTAGGTGACAGTATTTTTGCTGCAGCGCTATGCGAGACTTTTGGGAGGCATGTCGTCCCAGCGATGCCAAGACGGTTTCGAGCAGAGTGCAGCTAAGCTTTCCTGAGCCCCGTCCAAGGAAACTTGGAGCATCAGGCGGTCATGCGACGAAACTTTTCGTCAAGCGAGGAACTGTGCTGGACGTGGCTGTGGAGGATTGTGACTTTTGCAAACTCGTCCAGTTGCCTTGAGCTGGGTCGCCGCCCTGCTGGCCAGATTCACCCGGAACTCTTTGCTTTAGCAATCGTGTAGGGACATGCTGTACTGCAGATGTGGCAGACCGAGCTGGCTGTAGCGTCAGACCGGGCTCTGAGCCTTACGTGCCATTGCGTGCCCACCCAGCTGTAAAGTCTCCAGAACTTCAAGAATTAGGATGCTGCACCGACCTTTGCTTTCAGATGGTTCGCGCGCAGGAAGCACTGCGTGGTCAGAAAGTGGTGGCCGTAAATGCAGCTTCTGCCTACCATGCTGGCGGAGGGTTTCAAACTGGTGGGCGTCATGCGCTGGAAGAAGCTATGTGTGGACGACTTAGCCATAGCGGCGGTGACGCGATCGTGCGCATTGCGACAGATGTTCCGATTGTTTCTGGAGGCTCATGAAGTCATGAAGGAGTATCACTGCCATGGCCTGCCCTAAGACGCCCAGGCATTCAAAGCACGCTTTACGCCTCCTTGGCAAAAGGCGTCGAGTTGGCCGAGCAAGCAAAAATCAGGCCGAGACCTGCGACCTGCGAGATCCGAAATGTGCAAGTACGGTTGCAGCAGGCTGCATGTTCGGCTTCCGAAAGTTTCACGGTTCACGTCCACAGTCGTCTTTGCTCGGCAGGGTACCACCATGGGTTCAACCGCCCAAGAGGCCCAAGGACGGACAGGAGACTTGGAAGAAGTTCGTTTACAAGAGGCTCGCTGTAGGTTCAGGATGGAGGGAAATACTCGCACCAGGGCAAGAGTTCCTGGTTCCTTGACTTCAATGCTCGTCCGCAAGGACTGGGTGTCACATCTTCCCGACGACGGTGCGCTTCTTTCGCCAGCCGTGGAGGTCTTCCGCAGCGGCACCAACAACGGCTACGCATTCCAGGCTGAGCGGCTTGTCCGGTGGAGACAGAGCATACCGCAAACATGTGCAAACAGGACCGCAATAGCTGGCAGCTAGCAAGAACAGATTGATGAGACAGATGCAACTGGAGCTCTTATGTACTGTCCATGATACTGGCATGGTATGTATGTGTAATCTTGCAATCGCCGCAACAAACAGTGTCAGTTAGTTGTGCGAGTGGCCATTGCTTCCCTTGCTGAGCTTTCTACCGAGATGGTGCAGCAAAGAAGCTAAGAGTGCTGTTGCAGGAAAAGGCAGTCTGCCTCGAGGCAGGTCAGGGTGTGTGCATGTTCACATGCTGAGATCGTCGAGGACTCGTAGTTCAGGTTCTAGGTGTCGGTGTCTACAGGAGAGAATGGTGAATTCGTTGCTTTGAGCTTCTTTCAGAGAGCAGTGCAAACACAGGTCAACACAGCCTGCTTCAAAGGTACATGCGTGCTTGTGTTTCGGGGTTCTGGCACGTGAAAGGCGGTGGTGTCTGTGGCCATGCCAAACTGCAATGCCAAGATGTCGGACAGCCCGGTGGATGCGCATCCAGACCAGGAGAAGTATCTTGGCCCCAGCAATCTGTCATCGCTCCGATGTGACCTTACAATCTCACCTGGACGATCAGCTTTAAGATTCTGGCTTCTCAACATACATGCACTGTATTCTCCAGGTACGCCGAACAGCTTGCCGATAAATGGCGGGCGGTCATGGCAGCGGCATCATCAAGACCCGATGCGAACGTTCTGGTAGTTCCCGATGCAGGTAGGTTGGTCCAGCCGCACGTTGCTGGGGTGCTGGAATGGCTTTGCCAGCACTGCTCAGAAGTGGGTAGATCAGCACTGAACCTTACTGCTCAGCTCCGCATCCGACCAGAGTGCGGCCGCAGGCTGCGGCGTCTTCTTCAATCCACCAGAGAAAGTTGGTCAAAGCTTCCGGATCGCAGTTTGGGCACAGCTGGAGGGAAGCTCATGGCTGCTGGTGCTGGAGACAGTTCAGAGATCATTGGTGCAGCAGCTTAGGCTTTGGAAAGGTCTTGCGGGATGAGTTTTCCGGACGCTTCGAAGGCTGCATGGCCTCCCAACATACCCGGGCAAGCGGGCTGCGTAGCTCAAAGCCTGGACTATAGTATAAACTGTCCAGCCGAGTCAGGAGTTCCGATGCCCTGTGATGCCCAACATCCTGGCACCCTGTGCACAGGTGTTGTCATCGCCTTCCCAGGAGGCCTCACTTCTTCTGGTACAGATCTGAGTGTTGTCTCAGTCGCTAAGTAAAGTGCGGAACCAGTTTGTACGCGCTGAGTTTGCCCAAAGAAGGACACCGATGTAGCGTACACAACGTGGCCAGTATTGCTCCACAGAAGAAGAAGTGCGCATGCAAGCCAGGAAAAGCCGGCGAGGCTTTTGCAGCTGCAGCTGTCGAAGTCTTCGAAGAGAAATTTGAGACATTGCAGCCTCAGCGACTTTAGTAGTGACTGTTCTGGTGCACAGTTTAATGTGGTGCGAGCAGACAGCCTTCTCCGACATGACTTCTCGAACGAAGAGTGCTCTGAAATGGAGAGCGCTCTGAATTGGCCCGAAGTGTTTTGGTGAATTGATTGTTTGGCAAGTCTTCAGGGTGAAGTGGGTTTGGGTTTCGGAAGCTTAGGATCTGAGGGCTTTCGGGTCTTGAGTCTTGGCAGTTTCCAGAATGGAAAATTTAGCCGAATCAACAGCGTCCAAACCACACACGTTTTTGGGCAGGACGGCTGGTTTCATCGTCTCACTCGTGTCACTATCCTGCGGCTTTTAGTCCAAAGTGCTTGTGCAGGTGCTTGGACTTGATTTTGCGCTTCCATCCAGCATGCCGCCAAATCTGAAATGCGAGTGGCAAACTTGATAACTACGGACATTGCTTACATTTGCTCGCCGCAGTTTCACATGTTGGCTCTTGGTCAGCTTCGCTCCAAACCAGCGCCGAAGTGGTGCAGCGACCAGCAGTACAGGAGCAAGAGTGTGGTGCTCAACAGGTCGGGGTTTCAGTTGCTTTAATTAGTTGGGTTGTGTCGCACAGTTGTTTTGAAGTGACAACGAAATCGACTTTCTGCACCAAATGCTCGGGGTTTGGGCTCAAGCCTTCAAGCTCATGGCACCCAATCCGACTAGAAAACTCGTGGCATTTTATTTCCTCTGTGAGGGATCCCAACAAGCCTGCTGAAAACAAAGGGATCCAAGTTATCCTTCGAGGCTCCGATGCTTGAGAACTAGACTTCCCCGTCGATGAGGAGCTTCACAGCGTGCGACATCTTCGTTGTCGTCGAATCATGGGAGTGAACAGCTGTTCAGATCTTCGAAGCTGTCGAGCTCTCGACCCGGTTGGTTAAATGAGCACCGGTCTATGCAGAAATGTATCTGTCGGAGACGGTTTCAGGGCAACTGCGGACACAGAAATCCGTGCTGGAATGTGCCTGGCAAACATTCGACGACGCCAGGCACAGTGCCTTGTCGAGAACAAATTCGACTTAGAGGTCACAACCGAGCACCGTTTGCGTTCGAAGGCCACGGGTGGTTGCTCTGCAAGATTGCAGGCAAAGAGGCCAAGAAGATTAGCAGCTGAGACAAGATGCGGTCCTTTGCCTTTGGTGCCTTCACCGGTTTCTTCGAGTATACCGATTGCGCCCGAAACGGGTCGGGCATGCAGCACATACCGGTTAGAGCAGGTGCTTGCGAAGGCCAGCATCGCGGACTCTAGCCGCTCTGAAATACCGGTTCCACCGACAACTGGACTGAAGAAGTGCATCGCACCATGCAGGCCATCACAGTGCCCGGCGACATCACGACTTCGCTGACATCCCGAAATCAGCGCACTCCAAACCACATTTCGAGTTTGGTTGTTCGATGGCGTTCGTCCTCGCCCTCGCAAAGGTCACAGTATTTCTGTAACGAATGGACACATCGGATCAGAGATTTTGAGGAGATCAAATTGCAGATGTGCCACCGATGTGAAGGCTCCCTTCGATTAGCGGCCGCAATCGTGGCTAACAGTTCTGTTCGAAGTGCCAACGAAAGTGGTTTGTGTTTTTCGATTGGTAGAGGCTGGATTGATCACGCCGGTTTTTTACCCTTGACGGAGCCATTGGCTGGGTGTGTGGGCCAAAGCTTTGATCGTTTTTCTCCCACTCTCACACCCTTCGATTTTCGTCTCTGCTTTCAGTCTGCTTGTGGACCGATTAGAATCGGTCGGTCCTCACAAGATCGGGATGCATCTCCGCAAGAAATGGAAACAGTCTGAAAACCGCGCTCAGGGGTGCCCGTGCTCTTTTCCATTAGCGGCTGTTGTCATGTCGGACGACTTCCAGCTCGATTCTGTATCTATGACTGTGACACTCGCGTTTGGGAGCCGGACATTTTACAGCAACTGACCCTTGATGAGTATATAGTTAGTTGCTGGAGACTCAGCAGTGTGTCACAGCATGTCCGTTCCGCCACGGTTCCCGTCGACATCAAAAAATGATGTATTCGATCATGAAAGGCATTCCAGGCGTCACGTGTAACACGTCAAAGCCGCAACGTCTTAGCAGGACTGCCAGCGCCTGCTCGAAATGCAAGAAGCCCAGAATCCCTTGGCACGCCCTAGTGACCATTGGCGGGCAGCGACATGAGCTCGGCTTTCATTGCGTTGCGGTGACTGAATTTTGCGGTCTTGTGGACGAATCGCAAGCATGGCGACCTCTACAGCTGTCATCCGTTCTGCCTCAAGGGCCGAGCTTGTCCCTCGAGCCGTCGCAACCTCGGCTTGATGCAGTTGCATGTCAGCAGGCCTCCTCATAGTATCGACGATGCCGACCGCTGCCGAGGCCAAGTTCCGGGTGAGGATCAACATCATCCGCTCGGAGCCTAGTTGAGGTCTGCATCCGGCGGTCCTGCTGATGTCTGACCTGATTGCGCCAAGCGTCCCACGCCGACTTGGGGGCAAGAAGTCCACCGCAATAGAGACGGAGCAAGTTCACAGGGCAGCGATTTTGCCCGGAGAGAGACACAGCGGCAAGACACCTCGCACAGGGGATGCTCGGAGAAGTTGTTGCCTTTTGTTGCCATCGGAGTTGGTTTCGTGAGTTTTCGTAGACACTCGCTCAACCGTTAGAGGCCAGGAAGGCAGGGAGCCACAGTATGCATTGTGAAGCAGCTAAGCGCTCGATACAGATGCACTGACACATACCCCTCGCCCCTCGCCTGACGCTTCGGCTGGCGTGCGACCGGCGTGCTCAGCATCATTCCGTCGTTTAGACGGAGTCTGCACTTCCAGGCGCCCACAACTTGCGCCCAGCAGACTTGGCATTGATCGGCCAAAGCAAGCCGAGACCTCAGATTGGGACCAGATCGAGCTCACGAGAGCTCACCCTTCAAAGTTTCTGCTCATCCCACTTCAGTTTATAACATCATAAAGGGAACTACTTAGTAGCTGCTTCCAGAACAAGTTCTTCAGCCAAGGTCCGATCCATACTGCATTTGCAGACTCGCCGGGCAACGGCCTCAGCTGTTCAGCAGTCCTGGACCTGGAGGCCTGAGTTGTCCAGCGGAGCGTGGGCAAAAACGAGGCGTTCTTCGTTTACCGATTGTACTTTCCCTTGCTTGAAGTTTCAACTCTGTGTCGGAAGTGTCAGAGAGTAGTGGGGTGGCATTCACCACCTTTCATGTTGTGCTGTGAGACGGGTAGCTATCATTCAGGAATCACAGCCTGGGCTGAAGGAGGGCGAGGAAGGAAGTGGAGGGATACAGGCGTAATCGCTGCTTCGTTGCTGTTCCTGGCCTCTGCCCTGGGGTCATTGACCCAACTGTTGGCCATGTCCCGCCTACGGGCCACCCTTGGCAAGCTGTCGGCATGCATGCTCAGTGCAACCTTTGAAGACCTGATTTTTGGTAGACTCGGTCGGTCCACCTGCTTAAAGCCAAGATTGAACAATCATGTCATATGTTTCCCCAGGCGGCCGGAGACCGAAGTCCGCACCCAGACAGTCATGAAGACGTCGGAACCCGGATTGCGCTTTGCTTGCTTGCTTTTGTAGACAGGTCTACTCCTGCTAGGCAGCCTTAGAGAAGATGTTGCCGGCTTTGACTCGCATTCATTGCTAGGCTAGCTGGGCTGGATGCTTCGGTCCGGGAACAAGGGGTTCTAGGCAACAAAAGCTGCAAGCTACAGTGAACGGTGAACTTGAAGCGGCTGCAATGGTAGCCGAGATCGTCGAAGGCAGCGGCTAGTCAGGAAACTATGTTGCCGGCCGTAACATCTTGACTGCGTCGTCCGTGCATTCTCGCCGCAAAGGTTTCAGCAGAGGTCGAGAATCCTCATAGCAACTGCAGCCTGTAATTCTGCTTGAAGCAGCATCACACGACTTGACTCGCCATGGTTGCATGAGCCATTTCCATACAGCACGTAGTTTCATGTTTGCTTGCTAGGGTCGAGTGTCCATCGCATCAGCCATGTCCGCTATCAACAGTGCGGGAGATGCTTTCGAGGCTTACACGAAGGGCGAGTTCGAAACCTGCGGACAGTACTTGGAACAGATCCACAATTTGAAGACGGCTGCAGACGTGAAGGTGACGCACAACATCCTCATTAACGACTACTTCAAAGCCGGTTGTGCAGATCCCCACAATCTGCTCACTCTTCTGACCCAGGCATACGATCGGGCAAGGGAAAAGGAGAAGAAGGACAAGGGCAAGCGGAAGAAAGAGGAGGATGATGAGGAAAAGGGCTTGTGCACAACAGCTCTTGCTTCCTAGGTTGGATCTGTCTGCTCTTTAAGTTTGCTGCTCGGACTCAAGTTCACCCGGTCGTCATGCACACCAGGATGGCATCCGTGAAGATGACGATCTCTACGTGCTCCGGTACAACCAAGCGCTGTTGTGTGTTCAGCTGCGACACTATGCGCAGGCTGGGAGCTTTTGAGTCTTTCTTGCCTGAGAGTCGCAAGCCTCATCAGTCGCTCCTGTCTCAGGCACGACACATCCTGGAGGAGCTCTTCGAGACCCTTGCTCGAAGTACTCGCATTCTGCAGGTGTTGGTTTATTGTCCAGTCATTGCAGCACCCAAGCCGTCGGTAAGAAGCCGGACACGTTGCGCTAGCACGCGAGTTTGAATCAGTCTCCTCATCGCTCTCACGTTTAATCTGGCCTGGTGTGGTGGAAATTCTGGAGAAGAGCAATCTAGAATCCAGTAGCCGTGTCATCCAAATTGTTGTGACCTCGGTCTGAGCGCTTTTTTCGAATCTTCGGGGGAGCTTGGCTTGGAAGACAGGCCTTCGAGACACAACACAATGAACGGTCTAAAGCCTCTGGCTGTCCACCTTTAGCTTTATCGAAGAGCATTCGTTCAGATTTGCATTGGCATGTCTCAAGTTGCGCAGACATGAAGGCCAGGCCCATCCAGGCCAACAAGTTGGCACAACCAACACCACTGAGTGCTGTGCCGAGCCCATAGCTGCCTTTCAGTCTGCAGCCCGTGATAAGAGGCACGCACGCGGAACCTGTTCAGAAAGCAGACCGTAATGCTTCTGTCAATATCACCCCCGAACGCATATCTGCAAGGGCAGGGGAATTGGTGACAATTCCAGATTATCCCGCTGCATGCACCTCTGAAGGAGGTTCGTTTACTCGAAAGTTCAGGACATTCAGAGGGTCGGCTTCGTCTTCTTTCAGTCTTGGTTCGTAGGCCCGCAGCTCACCCGCTTCATCCCTGGCTGCATCTCAATGTCCATGGCTGGAATCATCCCCTTCCTGTCGTGCTCCCAATTACGACTCATCGTCAAGAGTTTGCTTTGTGGTATGTTCTTTCGCCGACCCCCCCCCCCCCCCNNCCCCCCCCCCCCCCCCCCCTTCCTGTAGCGGACGTGCGGCTACACGTGCCCGGGCTTGCGAATCCTTTGGAAGTCCCTGAACAAATCTGAACATGGTATCGCCTGGCGGCCGTCCGCCAGCATGGCAGGCCGAACACCCACAATACCTACTACGACCTACACCATCCTACACCTAAGCCGATGCGTCGGCCAATACCTTCATCAGTACTCTTATATGTCGAGCCCGACTCTTTCGGAAGGGCTGCGAGAGCGCATGTTCCCAAAAGTAAGCTGGGGCCTCCATGTGCAAACTGTAACCTTGCAACACGAGGTCCCAAGCCTGTAGCAGCTTCGTGGGAACCACCTCTCGAAACCACTTTGCACGGTTGCAAGCTCGATTGCTTCACTGGATCGGCACCGTGCCACTTCCCAGTCACCGTCCAGGATTTCAGAAGCAACTTCACGGGTCCCGTCCTCCTGTTCTGGGGTCCCAAGCAGGTCACCCCATGCTGTGATACCAGGCTTTGCTTGGATTTCGTTCAAGGTCTCGACCTTCAGCGCTCTTCCATGCTCTTCCACTAATCACTAATCGGCATCCCTGAAAGCCGGTCTTCGCTGGAGAAGCTACTCAGAGTTTGCTGCAGAACTTCAAGCACTGGTTCGCTCCACTAGTCACTAGTCATTGAGTCCCTGTCGCCTTTGAGCCATCGCAAATCCTCCTGGATCACCGTGAGCCATGTTCCATCCGCCTGAAGCTTGGGAGCCGCTGAACTATAGAGCCCAACAGGCTCAACCAGGCCTTTCTCGCCACTACAGGGTGGGGGTCGCCGTCATTAGATGTACCGCCGGGGCCGGAATCTTGTAGTAGTCCTCGCCGTTGAAGCGCTTGCCAGGGAGTCCCTTCAAGAACCTCGTCGAGATGATCCCGTTGATATCGTACTTAGGCCGCCATATACCCCCTTTGTCACACTGTCCCTTCAGGTAGCCCTGAGCCGCCAGGATCACAGGCACGTGGCCCCCGTTCGGGTTCGCCGTGTCGAGGTCATCGGCCACCCAGCTGGCCGCTCTGGTGATCGTGGCGTCTCCCCTACAAGGATAAAATCGATTCGGTGTTGATGGCCTCCTGCCTGTCGAGAAGTGGCACATTCACCCGGGTGCAAGGCTGAGAAAGTGAAAGGAAACCATATTCCAACGTTTTGGGAACAGATCGCCATGTGCCTCCCGATCTGGTGTGGCTCCCTGAGCTGAACGGCACCGGTGATCTCGCCGAAGAGTGTCGGTGGGCGACCGTTGAGGTCAAAACCCAGCAGGACCAGGCTTGACCTTGCGAGTGTGCGAAGGGATATCAGTGTGACAACTGACATGTCTCCAGCTGCCTGCCTGAAAGCACGCTGCCAGCCGTGCGACGGGGGCTCGGGAGGGGTCAGGGGGGGTAAAGGATGGTAAAGGGGTTCGCTGAACTCAGTTACTACATTGTGGAAAGGGCCTCGCGCACAGGCTTGAGCACTGAAAAGCACGCTGCCAGCCGTGGGCAATGGGGGGTGGAAAGGTCGCAGTGCACGGGCCGGATGGGAGGTGGGGCTGAGTTGGCAAGGGTAAATCTCCCGCCCTCTTGATCCACATGTGTCAGAGGAATGTCTGCAATGAAGCTTTTGTATTTGCCTGCATTCTCTACAGGGAAGATGCTCGAGTGTAGCAAGGAATGCCAGGCCACCGGACAGGATGTACTCAGTCACACTTTCAGGGAGCTGATGTTTCTTGACGGGCAGCCTTTTCTCCACAGCCTTTTTCCAGAACCCCCACATCTACGTCTTTCTGATAGTCAGAACGTAAGAGCAAGCCACACCGTTGGTGCAGTCTTTTGGGTTCTTTCTCGCAGCACCAACTTTTTCGCCCGCATTTTCATTTGGGGATGTCCCGAGTCGGGTTTATTGAGACTGTCAAGATCCACCGGGCTCTGCGATTCCAATTTGTCAGTCCTTCATGTCTGGAGGAAGTTATGTGAGTTTCAAGACACGAGCTGCAAGACATCATCTTTCAAATATAGGCCTTAAGACTTACCTGTAGACTCTGTAGACGCCGGAAGTGCAGAAACCTACCGCTACTGGGCGGTTCCATTCCAGGAATCGCGGTATGGGCTAGGTTATGCAGATTGTCAACTGAAAGTCGACCTTCCGACCAGCCTCCTATGCCGAAGTTGCACATATACGCGAGGAGATTGACGGGCTGACCCAAACTCCAAATAAGCTCTGTCGCGACTCAGGAACATCGAGCCCATCGATGATTTTCTGGCCATTAAGATATGCTTCCTTCTGCTCGAAGTGGTTCTGCAACCTGGCAACATGCGGTTCCCGACGCCCCCCCCCCCCCCCCCCCGCCCCCGCCCCCCCTCGTGGAGTTGCCGTTGCTTCGCCGGTAGCATGCACAGTTGCCTCCTGGTCGACCACGTAACCGATTCATACCGATTCAGCACTTGCTTGAATGAACATCATGAGCACCGGCAGTGCCCGGCTTGAAGCTTGGCATCGCCCGAAGAGTCGAAACACTTAACTTAGAAGAGGAATTCCTGGAAGCTACTGTGAACACCATCACAGTCACAAGCCTCACAACCCGCCCAGGTTACAGAAGGAGCCCGAGCAAGCCCTTCAGATCCTAAACTTCCTGGAGAAGCCAAACGCTTTCCACAGCCTCCTGAAGCCGGCTTCTCGTCTCGGAAATGGACGATGGGGAATTTGAGCCCACGTCCTCGTGCTGGCCCTGCCACTGCCTTGTTCAGGAGCGTAAGCCTCTTGAAGCTCCGCGTCCCATCGAAGATGAGGAGGAGGTCGAGGGTGAACAAATCAGGGAAGAGGACCTGAGTTGGAAAGAACTGCAGCAACGTACGGCAAGACAGGAAAGAGTTCCTTGAAGATTCATTTGTCAGGCTTGTGTCAGTTGTACTCACAGGAGGAGCCTGCCGAAGCTGTGGCTGCAGCCGCAGACACCCAGAAGCTCGACTTCAGGGTATTGGGTGCTATTCCAGAGCAGTTGATGTCAAGAAGAATTCTCCCGGCTGAATGCTTCCATCAGCTTCCATCATGCATGTAGACCCAACTCTTGTAGAGTCGAAGGGTAGGCATGCCTGAAGGTGAAGTTGCAGCAACCACTATCTTAGAGCTGTGGATCGGATCAAAGTGGCCTGCGGGACGCTGTCGGCACAACTTCCCGCAAGCCACGTTTAGGGTATCGCCAAAGTTAAGGGTGCCACATGTCATGTGTACGGTTCCACAGCAGTTGAGTCTCTACTGTAGGCTCCCCGCACTTTGGAGCGTAAATGATTTGCCTCGCGCCTGTGCTGCTTGCGAGGCAGCCAGAGAAGCCGGAAGGGCCGCTACCGAGCTTGGTCTTTGGTGCTTCTTGGCCGGAGGTCTGGAGGTCATCAGCAGGCCATTTTTGGAGACCGCGTCTGCTCTCGAAGGCTGAATTTACGAGGCATGAAGGCAATCCAGCCGAGGCCTGTCTTCAACGGCATGGCCGTGCACCGGATGCGATCTCGCCCATTGAGTTCAGATTCACTTGCCTGACCTACAAGATCCGCTCCTAGCTTCAAAACGGGCTTTGTGCATCCTAGGACAGCACGAGGCGAGGAAGTGAGCAGTGTCTTTACAATGCCTTCGCTGGAGCCTATTCACGTGTGGAGTGTCACACATCACGTCCACCAGCCCTGCCCCGAGCAGGCACTGTGTGTCTAGGCGCCTCAACGCACTTTCTCGATCTCCTGAGGTGTTCACATCTTGTGCAGAAGCATGAAGTCAGCCAAGAAGGAATGCAAAAATGCGATGGCTCCCTGTTGGAATTAGTGGGATTTCGTTCTTGGTACACGGTGTCCCACATTGTGCGAAGAAGCGAAGCTGCGCTCACGACCGGCCCCCAGTCTCACTGCCCTTGCCCCATCGTGGTGCCGACTGGCATGTGAGGAAATCCTGGAGCACGAGCTTCAACACGTCCCACTTTTTTGGAAGGACGTCTGTGCTGCACAGGCTTTTGAAATCTAGATTCCGACGAACTCTGAGAGAGGATTTTGCTTCTGTTTCTTCGTTGACAACCATTCACGATGACCGCGCATGCTACTAGCGGTTACTAGCGTGGTAGCAGGTTCAGCTTGGGAAGCGTACTTAAACTTGTGGCCGATTACCACAAGTTCGCGAGAACGGCGCGCCGCTGCATGGCGAGGAATCGCAGAGCCATGAAGCGAGAGGTCTTCTGCACAACCACGAAAAGGCAAAGGTGACCTGCCTGAAGGCACCCTGGCACATCTTAGACGCGCCATTGCTGTCAGTTTGATAGCCGGGAAGGACGCTGACAAAGACAGCGCTGACTGTTCAGGGGGTTTTATAGCATTTATGACTGGCGGTTCTGTCTCGAATCATCCCGGACAGACCGATTGTACCCTTGGGCCCAACTTGCCCAGAGTACGGTTAGAGCTTTGGAGTCAGTCAGACTTCTGGCATAGCCAACTTATGTTCTGGGGCTGGACCGCTTGAAACTGCACATGCCGCTCTTGAGGCATACCTCGAGTATGCCAAGCAGAACCACAGAAAGGCCAGGGTTGGACTGAAATCTCGAAGTCTGATTACATCAGCTGCAAGAACGTCAGAATCAGTCAAACCTCTGATTGGCTGAATCTTGCTAACACCGTGCTTGGAAGCGAAGTATCATGCTGCCGCCGCTCAAATTGACAGCTTGCCGCCGATTGGAGGCATTTCGCCTCCTCACGCTCTGCCGCTTCAACTTCGCACCTGCGAAACCTGGAGACAAGTCAGTGAACAAGCCAGGTGCGCCCACTGGTGCCGGCTTTGTTGGCTCTTGCTTGAGCAGTGTTTGGTTTGAGAGCTTCAGGAGACGACGAGGTGGAGGACAACCAAGCGCCGACAGATTTCCATCCCGCTCAAGATGATGCTTGCTCTCCGCTGCGACCTGCTCGCACTCGCAGTGTCACGTGCTCGATTGAGAGCTTCTGACTCAGCACCTCCTTCAGGTTCTACAACAACATGGGCTGTATACACTTCATGATGCACAAGCCCAATTTGGCCATCTACTACTTCAACAAGGATTCTTAAACGAACAGTTGCACGGACTCGCCAGATACTTGACATGTCGAAACCATTCTGCAAGGCGCTGTCGAAGTCGGCCCAGGCGCCTACGGGGGCCCGCGGACCTGCGGAAAAGGAGCTTGCATGGGCTGGATTAATGCAGGGTGAGGAGCATCGCGGCCCGTTGCAGACCGCAACGTCAGCCAGCGATGCAGTCTAACATCTCACCCGACATCCTGCAAATGTCCTAATATGTCCAGCAGTGCTGCGACATATGCAGGAAACGCTGTGTGGGCTTGCATCTGGTTTCAGCATAGTAAAGAAAGTCGAATCGACAGGGTCAGAGTTCCTTCGTTCGAATCATCCCGCTGCAACTTTGCATGCATTCTTCACCTGAGGGTACTAAAAACCACCACGGCGGAGTTGACTTCGTGCTACGACTAAGGTCTTCCAACCATGCAAAAACCGATCAGCGACCAGTGCTCCAGGGCCGTCTAACTTCTGTGCTTGAGTGCGTGATTGGTTCGCCTTGTTGTTTTACACGCAGGACAGACAGTCCGTAGGTGAGGTTCTTGGGCCTTCGCTGTCAGTGCAGCTCAGCAACAGATGCAGCCGTAAACCACTCGGCCAATGTCACAAACAGCGGCAGACATCCGTAGACAGAACGGCGACAACCTTTCAAGGCTGTTCCTCGACAGTCGAATCGCGACGAAAACTCAGAAATCCTCAGGAGAGCCTGCTGCTGTCGGCAAAAGTCGGACTTACTCAGCCCGGCATGGCGACCTCCAGGTGCCCTGCAGAGAGAACTTACCAGTGTCTGCAGGCAAAGCTCCAGGGATTTCAGCAAGTCCGGCTTTGCAGCAGCGCATGGGGCCCGACCATCAAAGTCACTGCCTGTGGCAAGGTGCCAAAAATAAACTGAATGCGTGAGGCACCATGAGCAGAGCTTTTCCGGACATGAGTGCCACATGCATATCCTTGACCCACTATCAATCTACCAATTACCGAGTTTGTCAGGCACTGGCTGGACCGACGGGCGGAAATCACCTTCAACGCCGGGCTCCAGTTCCTGATGACTGGCCGGCCAGCGCAAGCCTACAAGTGCCCTGGTGGGACGGGGGAATTATTGAAAGGAAACAGCGAGCCCCAGCCCCAGCGAGAGAAGGAGGAGGAGGAGGAGGAGCAGGAGGGTGAGGAAGTAAACAAAGAACGATAGGTTAACAGCTGGTCGACACCCAGTAGTTGTAGACTCGAGCTGCCAAGGACACTATCTATGCTGCGAAGCGAAGTCTGTACAAGAGAAGCACAGAGCGGTACATGAGAGAAGCTACCCGTAATCCAGGCTGACTCGTCTGGAAACTTGTCCGAGATGGGCTTTGCATGCCCCAATTCGATTCCAAGTTTATGGGACAAAGGCCCGCGCCTGAACGTAAGAGGGTTGTGCCGAGGACTCACCCCACTCACGAGGTCGAAGTCCGCAGGAAAGGATTTGCATCATTGCACTATGTAGCACGGCATTACACGACAGGGGTCTGAGTAGAATCGTTTAACAAGACACCCCATCATATCTTAGGAGCCGTGAGGGGACGTTCGAAAAGCGCGGGCAGGAATGGGAGTCCTTCAGCCAAGCCACTGAAAATCCAGCAACGGGAGGCTCCATCAGACCCGGTCATACAATCGCCAACTTTCAGTGAGCAAATGAACATGTCGCAAGCCCTCTGTAGGTGCTTCATCCAGTGCACTTTCGTCTTCAGGAACTGGCCGCGACTGCCCCTCGTTTAGGATTCAGATGCCGGAATGGACGGAGCTAGGCTTTATCCACTTTTGACCTGTAAGACAAGGCCGGAAAGACTCAGTGAGGATGTCACCACCTTTTGCCATTACACCACATTGCGCCCATCAAAGCCACGACGTGAGGTGGATGCGCCTCGCGGAGTGTTGCATCGAGCTGTACAGGCAGTCCCACAAAGCTGAACCAGAAGGCGGCCCTGAGCGTTGGGAGCTGAAGGCCTGCTGCGTGCAAAACACTGAGGCGGGTCGAAACCTGGTGGAATGCAATCCTGGAACCGGGCCGCTCGCCGAAAGAATCGTAACGGATCCATGCTGCATCACCTTGTTGGGCCCTTCCTCTTCCAGGCCTCTGCTGGCAGGGTATAGCCCGAATAAACGCAAGATTTCTCAGCCAGAATGCCACTGCGTGTTCAGCCACTTTCCCAGGAAGTTGTACATGTTTTGAGTGTAAAAACAAGCCTGGCCCGATTGGGGCTTCTGGTGTTCGAGATCCCACACCCCTGACTGGCAAAAATGTATCGCCCTGCCCTGTCGACTAATCACGGGCGAAAGTCTGCTCAGTACCCAAGGGCCTCAGCACTTTAAAGATGCGGCACATGCTGGAAGGTGAAGCAGCCGAGCCCAAATGGCCCCCTCGCCATGGGTGGCTCCATTTGCACGTCCCTAGGACAGGGCAGACACCGGAAAGAACCGCTGCTTCTGTCGTTTGTGCCTCTGCGCAGCAGGAGGGCCAACTGCCCTTGGGTCTGGGATGTCGCAGCTCGCCTGTGCTGCTCAAGGCTTGTTACGCGGCATGCTGGTTAAAATCTTTGACCAAGGATTCGGCAATGTTTCTGTCAACATGACGAGTCGGTTGTAGTCGTGCAATGTCGTGCAGGGTCTGTCTGGCCCTTTTGTCGTCCACTCTGCTGTCCAGGATGCGGTCCCACCCGCCGACTTTCCTTGCTCGTTGACAAGAGTCTTGGTGAATCAGTACAGCAGTGGCAGATGTCGTGACATTTAGATGGTTGCATTGGCCGATGGGAGGTGAGCTTGCCCCAACCGCTTAGGACCAACGTCGTGGGAAAGCTTGGAAGTGGCGAGGACACTGACAGATTTGACAACTGGTCGGAGTTAGTTTCCCTTGGTAGAATGCTGCCTTCCACTACCACGAGTCGTGCCGAAGAGAGAGGGGGAGGGAGAGAGAGAGAGAGAGAGCTGCGAACAATAGTAAAAGGAGTGGTGGGGCGGGCCGATGGCCTGAGGGTCCTAGCGGACCCCTACGCCCGGCAGAAAGAAAGAAAGAAAGAGCTGCGAACAAGTGGGACTCGTACTGGCAGCGGTCATAGCTTGGAGACACAGCACATGGGGAGTAGTAGAGCCGTGCGAGCTGGACAAGCAGACCACAGAAGCAGGAGAAGAAGCTCCACAAGCTAGCCACCGTCACTATTCAGGAGGGGCTACCAACTTGAGATAGGCGGACTGGCACCACACCTCCGCGCCTACCCTCGTCTCGGCACCCGAACCAAACCCAGCCTCGCGTCACACTGCCTGTGTCTACCTGCCGCACCTTTCATCCCATCCCTCAACCCTGCAGCACGGGCCAGCCAGTACACAACCAGTAAAGGTCCAAAAGCACACGAACAACCTTCTGTCTGCCCCTGCTATCCCCTGCTGCCGTGACAGTACTGACTTCGCACTCTGAGGCTGCCACCGGGTTGCACACGAGTCGTGACATGTCATACGAACCCTCACAGGTCACATAGAGGTTCTAGTCACGGCATACCTACCCCCGAGCATGCGCGTGAGAACTGTCAGGCAGGCATGGCAGAGGGCGTGCCGTTTCACAACCCCTTCCTTAAACCTGCAGCACGCAAGAGAAAGCTACCTGACGCCTTGTATTACAGACGTAGGCGGAGCAGATCGCTATGTCAGGGCAAAAGTCTCAAACGAGTGCTGAGTCGGGCCCAGCAAGTGACCTGTGCGTTTACTCCTGCATTTTAGGCTTCATTCATCATGCTGCAGTGGTAACCTGATGCTCACTTGCTAACTTGTTGCTCACTTGCTCTGAGAGGGGAGCATGAAGCAAAGGATCGGGGGAAGATTTTCCTATGTCGTCTGCCGTGTGCCATGCTGTTTCCTGGGAGACTCACCAGTAAGAGATCGGCGGTGGGCACGGCTGCAGGGTGTCTACATGCCCGATAAAAGATATCGCGGGGCTTCTGTGGCTGCTGCACCGTCGAGGGTGCAGTATGCCTAGTGTAGATATAGCACGTGTAAAGTATTGTCCCCTTGTGCATTCCCTTGGATGACTGTTGCCGCAGTGCTCTAACCAGTAAAAGGTTCCCGTGCAGCTGCCATGGTATAAACTGGTTACCACTTAACGGTGCTTTATATCAGTGCGTGTGATCTGAGTGGTATTCACCAACTATACCTAGCTTCATGAATTTGTTGTGGGCTCGAGTCGGTGTGACGCGTGATGATAGCTGAGCAGTTGGACAGACTGCCCAAGTGCACACACAGACACACAAGGCTGCAACAGGTGATGTTCTGGGTTCTAGGCATCCTGCCCAAGTGCAAAGCGGGAGGATGTGCAACCCTGCCGTGCCACAGGATGTCGAGCAACGCACAGGGCCGGCCGGTGCTGCACCTGTGCCGCAGGCCAGACTGCGGCTCAGAACCCTCCTTGCCATCATGGTTTTGGACAGGCGACGAAAGCCCCAGCCGCGGAGGGAGATGTGCTGAATGGTGAGGAGTATTGGCCTGCCGCGGTTGGTTGTTTCTGAAATGCTCGGCTTGTCGTGGCTGCAGTCCAATTTCGTGCAAGAGGGTGCATGCCGCAATTCAGTTGCGAATAGTGAGGGTGCCTGCATGGAGGATCCCTTGGTGACAGCGGCAATGTGCCTCAAAAACGTCCTGACTCTGATCGATCCTATGCTTCAGAGCGCGGCCCAGGCCGTGGCACAAGCTGTTAAAGGAAGGGTGCTTTCTTGGATTGAGGATGATTTTGAGATATTGAGGGTAGGCCTCAGAGCGCGCACTCAACGAAGCATATGCTGAGAATCAGCGAGAGGGGTTTCGGCATTGAAGCATGATGTGCACCACCGTTTCTTTCGTCCTGAACCACAGACGATAGAGAATGATGGAAAAGGCGGCCGAGACTGCAGAAGCCAATGCTGCAGCGGCCGGCAAGGCTACTCCCTCACAGAAGGCGTGGCGAGATCGGCAGAGCAGAAGTCAAGCGTTCACTGCGCAACTACCTACTCCCCAGATTGCACGAACCGGAGCATGGGCAGAGGGAGAGATTCGAGCCCCTGGCTTTGCTTCGGAGGCATCCGGCTCGGGAGCGCCGACGCCTTCCAAGAGCGCCACCGCTCGGGATCTGGCGCCGACTCAAGACCAGAGCCCCTCGGAGGAGTTCAGGATATCGCTGTGGAGCCCAGGCCGAGGCCGAAGCGCTGCTCATGGAGGACGCTGCGCTGTTGAAGTTGGCCTACGTCTGCCTCTGCTGCTTGGACCAGAGAGAGTGAGCAGGAGGCACAACTCTAAGAGAAGGTGCGAGGAGGGTAACGGACAGCATGTGAGCGAAAGGCAGCAAGCTCGGAGCACTAGTGATTACTACTACTACCACTACTATTACTACTACTATTACTACTACTGCTACTACTACTGCTACTACTAATACGACGACGACTACTGCTACTACTTCTACTTCTACTTCTACTTCTACTTCTACTACTACTACTACTACTACTACTA